TCGTCGCCTGTACCATCTTGGAAATTTCGTACAGCTACAGGATTGGGTGCTAGCGCATGGATACTCTGCACACCTGGATATTCCGCTGGAAAAACTCTTGCCTACTTAGAAATGAAGGGCGTTGAGAGCCTGAAGAAGACGGAATATCCAAGTGTGTCACCTGACCTAAACCCCTCGATTACCGGGTCCGGGCGGAGTCTACAGTGGCGGAGAAATCAACGACCTCGCTGAACTCAGGCATCGAATCATGGTCGCGTGGCAAATCTCTCGATGGCCTTTTCTAGAAAGCTGTGGCGGAGTTTCATGATATAGTGTACAATGTGTTGTTGAATATGATGGTGAAAATGTCCAGTCAGAATTTAATAAAGTGTAACTTATATCGCCTTGAAAGTCGAGGAAGAAAGTGTCTTTTTTGCCCCCCCCCCCCCCTGTATTTTCATTTGAGACAATTGTGGCCATTTCTTTGTCCATCACAGAACAAGACAACAGTTGCCTCAAATTGAAATATTCTACGAGTAACCCATCCTTTGGCATGTCCAAATGCCACGCCTACTCCGTTTCAGGGATGAGGAATGTAACTTGAGTCGTTCCAATATTACTGCACTTGCATTGCAAATTAACGGTCACATGTGTCCCTAAAGAACGTGTGTTGACGATGGTTATCTCGAGTGAATAATCCCCTTTAGATAAGCGCTGTTCACTTGACCTGTCTCAATACTTTGCAAAGCCCTTTGGCAAACGTTCTGTCAGATGCAATGCGATTAGAAGGCGTTGGCAGTTGAAGACATATTCATTTTTGGGAACATTTTTTGTCGGTTTATGGGAACATTTCGCTGGTTCCCTTCAATCATAGCCGATGCTTCTTTGTAAGTTCCTGTAGAGCATGTAACTCGTTCGCATTGCACAAGAATCTGTAGGTCTCACCTTGATGGAACAGGCAACTTAACAGGAATTAGCAGAGGGACCAAGCGAAAAACAGAATGTCTTCCTTTAGCAGAACGGGGTCCAATTTTATCGAAAAATCGAGTTCTTCGTCGCCAGAACAGGATCACCAGTTACCAGGTTATTTGAAAGGGCTTGCCCTCACCCCTGCAGTTTCGTAGAGACGCCCGAACTCGGATAGGGGGTTTTCCAGGTGATGTTGTGTAGTCGGGAGCTCACTGTTTCCGGGTTCAACTGATCATGGTGGCCCACTTGAACTTTGTTTTAGGTTGGAGCGAAAAAAAAGGGAAGGTTGTTGTGTCTGGTGAGATACTACGTAGCAGCCGAGAGAAATATTTAATTGCACCCAGACAGTAAGAATAGACATCTAACAGAATAGGGTGGGACGGGCCTTCGTTAATATACACTGCTCTGTCTCGGTCTAAAAAATGTCCGCAGTCAAAACAACTAGGCAGATGCTATGGAGCCATAAGCCAGATCAATACGGCTATATCATGTAATTAGGGCAATTTACGCGACCCTAGGTCCCGCGAAACGAGAAACGCGCTATTGGGGTATGTATAACACGCAATGTAGAAACCCCGATCATGCCCATAAGATAAGGGGGAGGCGTGGAGGACATGTCCCATTGAGGAAAAAACTTCCCCTTATTGCTTTCCCGTGAATAATGTTTTCTGTATTGCAGATGACAAATGGACAGCAACAGGTTCACGTTTCGCCCTCTCCGATGCTAGCTGCAGCACTGGGGTTGCTGATTGAGCGACGACACTTCCTAAGAAATTGGTGAGAGAAGGGGACTAGTCCCGCGCGTTGCACTCGTCGACGGGCAGGGAAAGAGACTCCCTCCAGAGGGGCTTGTATGGAGGCCCAATTGCTGTGAGTCTCCTCCCATGTTTTTTTTTCGTGGAATAAGGTAAAGGAAAGCCGTACACTCACCTCTGTGCTTCGTGGTCCTTGCCATGTGCTAGGTGGGTGGGTCTGCAGCTGGGTAATGTGCCACTTACTCTGCTTCACAACCAGTCTAATCTCCAACCATAAAACGCACTACGTTTCTGCGCCGTTTCACTTTAGCATTATTCCCTCTAACCCTGCTTGCATGTTCGCCGCGGAATTTTGGTATCGCGGAGAGCGCTTCACCTCTAGGGTAGGGTCGGGGAATGGCACCCAGGTGACTTGCCCTCCAGCCCCGTTCTCGTGATTTTTGAAGCGAAGAAAAATGGCACACTACTGCAGCTGCAACCCCATTCACCTCCCAAACAGCGACGTCCACCCTCGGAGGTGTGTGCACAGTTCATATCTGAAGAACAAGCCGGTACACCTATGGTTAGGCCTTCTTCGAGGCGATAATGTGTTGGACAGCATAAATGTATTGTCTTGAAAGCTCACACCGGAGTTCAAGCCCCAGCTGATTCAGCCGTTCGAAACTCTTTGCTCTTCCGGTGAATTAATGCCTTTACTAATCACTTCTGCGCTCTAGCCTGGAATTCCTCCGCTTCCCTTCCTCGGTTTCCAATTCGTCTTCCGTTAGGGACTTTGCAGCGTTTTCTATTATTCTTATTCTTATTATTCTATTATTATTTTTATTCTCATTACATTATTGTTTCCATTGTTTTTTTTGTCATTTCTGTTAAACATCTCCTTATTTGAACTTAGTGAGGTTCAGTTCGCGAGAAAATTTTGCTGTTGCAGTTGTAAGAAACCAAACTGTTACAGGCATGGTGACTAAAGCGCTAACAATCTCAATAATTTCGTGCTGTATTCTCCGAATCGCAGCTATCGTGGGGCGTTGAACCTAGCATAAGTGAGCTTTTCCCCTTCATATTTGTCTCCATAATAAGACTGCACTTTCGTTCGTGCTGTACGAAAATCCTTCAGGTTTCCTCGATGGCAATGACCCTTTCAACCAGTGTAAAACAAGAATTGAACGGAGAATCACAGGTGAACTGAGCCTTTCCTCACAGTTCTGTGATAAGTCTTTATGGTACTTATTACAGGGTTTTCTGGTGTCATCTATTCTCACTCGCTTTATGGCCGGGCACCGTATAACGCTAGCAGGAATTGTTTTATGATGCTGATTGTACCGTTGGGTTATCGTATACGACTGAAAGTTCTGGAGTTCGATGTCAACGGTAATAATTCTTCGTGCGAAAAGGACACTCTGCATGTCTTCGACGTGAGTACAACAAGAAATATAAAAGAGACGGGAAAAGTAGGAAAAAATAGCGCGTGTAGTTCGGGGTCGTGGATTCTACAGCAGAGATTGTACTGGATTTGACTCATTATCAAAAGAATTTTTCGACATAAGAGGACTTTCAAAAGACGAAGTTAATTCTTGAAGACTCGAAAAGCAATTTCGGACGAGTTTCCCGTAGATATCCTGCCAATACCCTTACAGTAGGTACAGCTGCACGTATATGCTCATATATCTATGCAGCACCGCAGCAACTTCATACAATCCCTTCGCTTCATATTTTACTTAGCAAATAAAGCAATACGAGCATCAGGTACGGTCGTCCATTTGTGGGCGGGCGGGCGTGGTGGGCGTTCGGGTCGGTATGTTGTAGCTTGATAGGGCCCTATAAGGGTACCTCCTTGGAAAAGGCGCTACGCAGCGCCTGCTCAGGGTCGCGGAATTCCGTCCTGCCAGGCGTATTAATCCTACTCGTCTAGGGATTTATCGTGCCAACTGCCTTTATAGGTTTCGACATTAGTCATCTTTACTTGGATAAGTTACGCATTCTTTTTCCATGTATGGCTGATTTATTCAGCCAATTCGTGGAGTTTCCACTACTGGTTCCCACCACTGGTGGTTTTCTCCCTGAATCTGTCACAGGCCGTTCAACAAACTCGCACAGTCTTGTCCACGTGCATAGCAGGCTGGGCGTGACTTGAGCGAAGCCCGAGATCAGATTTCCTTAGCTCTATGCTGGCTCAACACTGCGTGGAGAGGAAGGCGGCATCACTGACCTGTTCTGGCTATCGGTGCCAACGTCACACGCCGGCGTTTTCAGTGATCATGACGATTAGAGATAGGCATCGGAGTGGTTCATTACGGACCTTCCTGACACCGCCCGAGTGAGTGCGAATAGTACTACATCTACAGTGGCCAGAACCGGCGATGTACAATTCGAGTGTTTTTGCCTTTCAGGAGAATCTGATATCAAGTTACCCTACCCAGAATAGATGAAAGGCTAGGCCTGGATTGGACGATGAGCTGATCCGTAGCTAGACCGCCGACCACTTGCACCCACTTTCGCGACTCCACTCTATCTTGGCCAAGAGCCAATCTCTGCGGATCATGGGCGGCCTTAAAGCCAAAATATAGCCTCTGAAAATTGACCGCGTTTTTTAAAGTTTCCGCCGTTACTCTACACTTGCGAAGCCTGTTCTCGCCATGCACACATTCCACAGTGCAATTACAGTCATCATCCAGGCACTTGATAAGGCGGCCAAGGGTCGCGACGCGGCAGCGGCGCGTCATGACCGCGGCGATCAGGATGTTTTTTAAGCAGTTCACCGAGACAATGAACTACCTGAAAAAGCAAAAACAAAAAAAAAAGACTTCACTCCTATTGGTAAACACTCTTTACCAAAAACAAAAAAAGACCAGTGATTCATTAAACGAATAATAAAACAACATAAACCTTGAGCAAATAATGGAACACCACAGCGCCGTAAATCAGGGAGGAAAATGCTCGGCTCAAACATGCTGGAAAACAGCTTGATCGCCGTGCTCCGTCGATACGGGCGCAGCCGGCGCGCGACCCTTGGCGTCTAATCGGATAACGACTGTACATTGGAGCAGAACAGGATGCTGTTCAAGAACTTCACTTGTTTGCATACATAACTGGAAGCGAAGACCCGGAGCATCTCAAAAGGGGCGCTAGCTCCATTAAATCCATTTTAGGCATGATCATGCGCTTGTAAGAAGATAAAATGTTCGGCGTTGACTGAATCCTTTCTAAGGTGCTCTGCACACTGGGCTTCGCTCGGAATTGCAGGGGATTCGAAGAATTATTCCCCTGGGAACAGCCTGTAGCGAAGGCTGGTAGTAAGGTAAATCCTAAGCGGCTCTTACATCAAGTGGACAAACCCGGAAGTGGGAAACTTGGGCGGCTAGATTAGATTCGAGATCACACGTGCGTTGACGGTGACGTCTGTCAGTAGCGAAACAGGTAGGCGTCACTGGTCACCATAACACTCACTACGCAAGGAACGAGTAATTTAAGTGGTGTCAGATTCCATCTTGAAAAAAAAAACCCGACTTCCATAACGTCCTCTGACCTCGTCACGTTCACGGATTGATCGAAGTCGAATACTCTATTATTTATCCTCTTAAAAAGAACCAGAATGGTTGCAGTAAGAGTAAAGCTCTGTATTACAGTAAAACTATGCCCTCAGTATAATAGACGCCTCCATGAAGTCATTTTGGAATCACCTAGTTACATTTCAAATTTTCAGCATGAGACCTCGATTGACCCGTCTACTGCGCACTCGAAAACGAGTGTAACAACCACGCCGGGACCAATAATTGGTGAGCGATGAAGATGATTAATCTGTCTGCATAAGATGATTGATTGCCTCTAACAGGTCAGTTCTGCGGACGACGTACCAATGCCAGTGACCTGAGTTTAAGCACAATGAATGCTTTGACGTTATGGTGGCATACGGATGCCATCCTTCCACAGCAACATCCTGCAAAAGGGTTTCAGCTACATTGGAATGCGTTTCGAGTGACAGACGGAGGTATGGGAATGGCTGAAAGATGGCTGATAAGACTTTCTGGGATACCATACCATAGTGATCAATTCATTGTAGTTCCTTGCTCGACTGG